CAAGCCGCCAAGTCCAGGACTCAAACTGGTCAGCCATGTGGGAGTCCAGCACCTTAACCACCATGTGACATGCTGTCTACCAATTTCTTCCTTTTTTATGGCCTTCCATTGCAGTTTGGTGATTTATTTTGGTGTGTGTGTCTAATAAGGCTCGATTCCTTCTTGCTTCTCATTAGCATATCTGGTCTAACAGTGAGTTTTGTATTTTGTGTGTTTTTATGATGGTAGTGTCATCTTTTTCCAGATGTAAGATTCCCTTTAGCATTTTTTTTTTTTTTGGTAAGTCCAGTCTAGTTGTGAATTCCCTCAGTTTTTGCTTGTTTGGGGAACACTATTTCTCCTTCAATCTGAAGGATGGATTTGCTGGGTATAATGTTTTTGGTTGGCAGTTTTTTCCTTTGAGGATTATGAATATGTCATTCTATTCTCTCCTGACCATACTACCTGCTGAGAAATCTGCTGTTAGTATGATAACAACTCCCTTATGTGTAATTTGTTAATTTTCTCCTGCTACTTAAAAAAATATCTTTGACTTTTAATAGTTTATTCATTATATACCTCAGTGAGGACCTCTTTGGGTTAAATCTGCTTGGGGATCTTTGAGCTTTTTCTATCTGGATGTCCATCTCTTTTTGAACACTAGTAAAACTTTCTGCAATTATTTTATTAAATAAGCTTGCTGTGGCTCTTACTGTCTCTTCTCTTTCTGGAATTCCCATAGTACAAATGTTTGCTTGCTTTTTGATACCCCTTAAGTATCAAGTGTCTTCATTCCCTTTTTATTTTTTAATTTTCTGTGAATGATCTTAATAGCTTTACTTTAATAGCTTTACTTTCAAGACCCAAGATTTTTTTATTTTACTGATCTAGTCTGCTATTGTATCTCTAAAAATTTTTCATTTTTGTCCTTTGGTTTGAGAATTTGTGTGTGTGTTTTTTTTGTAAGATTTCTTGTTGAATTTCTCATTCTAAGTTTGAACTGTTTTCTCTTTTTTATTTATTTATTTTTTTGAGAGGTTTTTGCTATAGGGCGCAAGGACCCCAGGAATTGTCCCCCAGGGGGAAGGCCATGCCACAATCCTTTCTTCTCTATTCTCTTCTTGGGATCTTGGGCGGGCACGCACACACACGTGCCCGGCATGAGTTTTAAGCCACTGGGTCCGGGATGCGAACTGTGGTCAACTACATGGGAGTCCAGTGACATAGTCATTATGCTAACTGCTGGTCCCTGTTTTCCCATTTTTTAAAATTGTCTATTTATATTTTCTCTCACTGAGCTTCTTAAGGAATTAAAAATATTATACTTTTATTTGAGATCCGTTACTGGGGAATGATCACGTATCTTTGGAGGTGCTGTGTTTCCTTGCATGTTCATGTTTCTTTCATCGCAGTGTTGATATATGCACATCTGGTGGGACAAACACATCTGACTTTATGGAGTAGCTTTCTTAGGGGAAGACTTTCCTGAGTATGTGCCCTACAGTGTTGGTTAGATAGGGCCCTTGGTTCTGAGTGGGTGTGGTAGTGTGGTCTCCATATGATTTCCTTGGCTGTAAACAACGTCAGTGGTGTCTGCAAGAGCCTCCCCCCCCTG